GTTGATTGGCTTGATAGCATCCCCCCAGGGAGAAGAGGGAGAAACCTGGCTCGGGCTTGAATTGATTAAAGACTTCAGCACCAGGAATAAATTCCTGCCATCCAACGTGGCTATATGGAAAATAACTCCTGGCAAGTAGAAATTATTTCAGTCTCCAACACGAGAGGTGACTCTCTGGCTGTAATACACTTCTGAGAAGCATTTGAGTTATGGGAGGTGATATTCTTGTAAAAATCTGCACTTTCCAGTATTAAAAAAGTCAATCCAGTCCAGTATTTAGAGCTGACATTGCACAGTGTCAAGAAAGCTGGTATTAAATAAACGTGATCCATTTCCAAGGCAGTTATCAGGGAGATTATCACTGCTGGGCACTGCTAGTTGGTAACATGGACTTGGTGTTTTTATCACTAACCTGGAAGAAAGGAGATGGAAATGACTTCTGGAAAAACCTGGATCTGACCCAGAGCAGCTGAGTGTTAATGGTTTGTTCAAATCCGGGTGGTAAGCTGAGTGAGCGAAAGGCATCCCTAACGAGCAGAATGGAACATGGAAATCTTTTACACCCAAAAATAATAACTGTGGCTGTACGTGGTTTCCTGTCCCTAATCTGGATGGTAAATTTTCAGCTGGAGCTGCCTGCAGATGCTGGGAGAGGCAGCAGAGGGTTGACCTGGCAGCAGTTTGGGGGGTAGCTGCCTATCTGTCCCCATTTCTGCACTGGAGAATTGAAAATTTCCAGGATAATGTGAAATTTGTCTCTGGGAAGAAAAAAAAAATTGCAGTTATTTGCATTTCTGGTCAGAACCAACGTTGGGCTTATGGCAGCCAAATCCAGCCTTTCCTTCTCAGCAGAGGAGATGTGGAGTCTGAGGGGAAGGGACCAAGGGGCTGCAGAAAGGATCTTACAGCTGGAGACGAGGGGGCCATCCAGTGAGTCCACTCATAAATCAAATCAAAGAGAAAAGAGGAGGGCTTGGCAAAAGCATCCAAATACTCTCGCAGAGGAGAAAATACTTGGTAGCCAAAAGCTCATTAATTGAGCAGAGAAAAAATGGCAAGAATCAATATCTGGCAGCTGAGGGCAGACACAGTGGAAATAAGGCATAAATATTTTACCAGGAGGAGCGATTAATCATCAGAGGAACAGAGGTGGGGTCAGCCCCTCTTTGCCTTTTGCAAAGGACCCGCAGAGTTTCTCCCACAGCCCCGAGGCTGGGCCAGCAAGAGGCACTGGATCAAACCACACCGAGGCCCTGATTAGGTGATTTAATTAGGGGATGATGCAGTTATCTTTCATCACGGTGGAGTCATGGGAAATAGTTCTTGTGCCCTGATGGCTGTTTCTGAGGAACACCCGTGAAATCCCTGGCAGCTCTTGGTGGGTGCTTCTTTTACCTTTTTCTCTTGGTCACCAGTGGTTGCATTCCCTCAGATCTGTGGTGGGAAGGCGAGGGGACAGCTCGAGCTTGGTGGCTTTTCTTGATGTCCAGCAGAACAGCCTGAGATTCAGGAAAACCAATCTCAGTGAGCATCCCAGCATGCTGTGGCTGCTGGGGCAAGGAGCTGGTCCAGGGCTTGGTTATTCACCTGTGGGTCAGAGTGTCCCCAGCCCGGCATCCCTGGGGACACGTGTGCTTAGGAGAAAGAGATAAAGGTCACAGGGCTGTTGCTGGTTCCATCTCCTCCCACTCTCCTTTCCTTTATTTTCCTCCTGCTTCCTGTCCTTTCCTCCCTCCTGCTGTTCTCTCCCGGTGTCCCATGCGATGGGGTCGGTGCTGTTGGTTATAAGGAGTTCAGATGTGGTTCCCTAGCCCACATGCAAACATCAGGACCGTGTTGCAGAACCTCTGAGCCTTCCAAACCCAACACACTGCGAGCAGCTGACGTCCATGAGCAGCCCAGGACCTCTCCTCCTCTTCCTCTCAGAAGCGTGACAGACACCTGCCCAGGATGATGCACAACGAAGAGCAAAGATTGTTTTGAGAAGGAGGATAAATGGAAGGGAAAAAGGCACGTGAGAAGGATGGCAAGGTAGGGAGAGGCTTTTCCTGAGCGCTGGGCGGGGGCACTGGGAAGGAGCTGCTCACCCATAACGGGAGCAGGAACCTCAGGAAAGTCCCCGGCGGTTGCAGAGTCCCTTGTGGTGATGGAAGGACATGTGGTGGCCACGTGAATACCATGGGCATTTGTCACAGCTCTGCAGAGCTCAGACGGAGCTGGCTGTGGAAAATAGCTGGTTTTGGTGTGGTCAGGCACTGGCTGTGAAGAGGTGAAGGATTCCTGACACAGATCTCGCTGGGAGGCAATCCCAGGCTTTTGACTAATTCCTGCGTTGTTAGAGAGACAATGCCGTGAATGCTAGAGAAATGGAAAGTCTGGATCATGCTCCATAGCTGCAAGCTAACATCCTTTTAGGGAACTGGCCTGCAGTGAGAAAGGGGCTCGTCTGGGCTGGGGATGCCCAGGAGCACGGGTCCCGCTGTCCTGCTGGCAGGTGTGACACTCCTGCTGGCAGGTGTGACACTCCTGTGGCTTGTCCCCAGCAGCTGGGTGCAGCTGGAGCATCCCCGCTCCCGCAGCAGGGCTGGGTGGGATCGCAGGTACCGGAGATTTCCTGCCGGTGGGAGATGCCGTGTCCGGCGTGCCTGGGCGCACGGATGTGGGAGGAGCCCGTTTCATTATCATCTTATCCTGTCCATTAGAGTCCTCAAGGGGATTAACCGGGTGTGTGCTGCTGTCCCCAGGAGAAGGCTGTGATTTCTCAGGTCACCCTGGTAAAATCACACCGGTGCTGCTCTAGATGCTGAAAATTGGGGTGACCAGGCTGGCATCTCCTCCTGATCCAGGCTTCTGATTTTTTTCCTGGTGAAACGTCTTTGCCCCTGAACTCTGTAGGAGCTGCATTTGATATAAAGAGCAGAAAAAATAGCTGAGCTATAAATAACACATTCAAAACCAGGCAGGGACCTGCAAGAAGCAAGGATGGTGTTTCTGTGATGTGGGCTTGGAGGAATCATTTTGCCACCAGCAGATGGTAAATGGTTTCCCTTTGTGCTGGGGGTAGTTCAGAGTGGAGGAGATTAAATCCATGAAACCAGTGATTTGATGACAAAGTTTTGTCTTTTGCATCCTTGATGACAAGGTCCTGTAGGGACTCTGGGGCAGTTTTCCTTCTGGTCAATGTTAATGAGGGCTGTGCTGGAGGCCTGGGGCAGCTGTTCCTCCACCTGACTGTCTGCCAGTGCCCTGACCTGCTCCCCAGGTCGGGGCTGCCAGGGCACTCCCAGGAGATGTCACACAGCAGACATCAAGGGATGTCCCCAGGGATGTCCCCAGCGGGAGCTGCAGCTCTGGGCTCAGCTGGAGAGGGAAGAGCAGCAGTGCCAGAGCCCCAACCCCATCCCTGCCTCAGTTTCCCCACTTGCAAGGTGGGAGCAGGAGCAGCCTTACCTGAACCCAGCGAGTTGGGGTGAAGTTCTGGGGCGATAAAAAACACAAGGTCCTCAGCCCTGCTGTCCTGTGCCAGGACTCCTTCAGCACACCAGGAGTCAGTTTTGGAACCAGCAGGCTGGGGAGAAGGACAAACCCCAGCATTTTCACAGTCCTGGTGGGGCTGGAAAAGGGGTAATTTGGGGTGCAGGAGCGTTGCAGGATTACACAGCTCCAACCAAGTCCTTAGCACCTGGTGCCTCAGTTTCCCCATCTGCAGCATTCCGTGAGCCTCTGGCTGTGGGATGGGGTGATGCACATCCTGCAGCAACCCTCCACACACAGCTTGGAGGTGTTTCTGGGTTAGAAGGTGACCTCTTCCATTAGCAGCAGGGACTCTCTTTTTTTCCTGAATTAGATGGTGGTTTGGAGGCTTTCCAGGCCCACATCATTCTGCCTGATAGTGCTGAGCTTGCTCTGGAGGCTGTGCCCAAGTGAGTCGGGGCTGCAGCTGTGGGAAGCTGCTGGCACCTTGTGTGTCCCCAGCCAGGAACAGCTGGATCAGCCCAACTCTGCCAGCTGTGGATGGGACATTTTGGAGTTCCTCTGTATGTGCATGGAGTCCCTGCACGTTATAAATCTGGGGGTGAGGGAGTTCCCAGTTCTGTCCCAACCAGGAATGCTCAGATTGTCTTCCCAGACCTCCCCTGCCAGCCCCACTGTGGCTGTGGGTTATCAGCACCACGCAAGCCCCAGGTGCTGGTGCAGCCAGGATGGGATTTCAAAGCCATCTGCAGATGGTGACTGTGACATCGGGCAGGAGTGCTACCCACCTACATCCAGAGGTGATTTTTAGTTCCCAGTCCATTCCAGGGGATTGAGCAGCACTGGGAGCTGCCACATGGCCTTGGCCACATCTCCTCCAGTCGCTGCCCACTGGGGGCTGCCCTGAGCAGCCCTGCCCTGGGCTAACGTGACAAGGGCAGCCTTGTCAGCGATGCCACCCTGGTCCTGAACGTCCTCCATAAACAAGCAAGAGATTTGCCAGAGTCAGGACATTTTTAGAAAGGCTAATTAAAGCCCATTTTCACCCTGTGCCTCTCCTTGAGCAAAAGCATTTAGCAGTGACCTCAGAGTTAGTGAATTTGCACTTGAGCTTTCCGTTTCACCTCTAAAAAATGGGATTGCTCCGTGAACTCGTTAGTGAAAGTATCTCCTGATGCCTTGGCTCCTGACCAGGATGGGCCCCGCCAAGTCCTGCTGGGCTCTGCTCTCCTCCCGCTGCATTTTGCTTGGGTAAGAGACACCATGGAGAAATATGGGGCCTCTCCAGGCTCTGTTTTCAGGGACAAATCCATCCAGGGGTAACTGTGCTGATGCCAAGCAGCTTGGCTGAGCTTTTCCACTGGTGTTTTGGGTTACACAAGGGAAATGGCAGATCAGGGGAGAGCCACCTTGGAGGTGACAGTGGCTCCTCTTGGCCACCATCTCGCTCTCCCCTGCTGCACATCTGGCCTCCAAACCCACTCACCTTCCCCTTTCTGCTCTTCCCTGCCCAGCTGTGCTTCATGACAACCTCCCGCAGCATGTTTTACGGGCCGTCCTCCACCATGGCCCCGCCGTCCAAGAGCCGCCTGAAGCGCCAGAGCCGCCTCTTCTCCCAGGTCCTGTACCGCACCCTGAGCTACAAGGACCGCGGCTCTGCCACCCCGGCGGCCGCGGAGGACGATCCGGCCGAGCTCTCCACCCAGCTCTCGGCCCCCGGCATCCTCAAAATCTTCGGGGGCAACATCTGCGCGGGCACCAACTACAAGAGCGTGCTGGTGACGGGCAGCTCCGGCGCTCGGGAGCTGGTGAAGGAGGCTCTGGAGCGCTACGGGCTGAGCCAGCTCAGCGCCGCGCAGTTCGCGCTCTGCGATGTCATCGGCCGCTTCCAGGGCCCCGACAGGCAGTGGCACACAGAGGGGCTCAGGGTGCTGGGTGACCACGAGAAGCCGCTGCTCATCCAGGACCTCTGGAAGCCCAGGGAGGGCTTCTCGCGCCGGCTGGAGCTGCGCAGGAGGGCGGAGGTGGAGGAGATGGCGGCCAGGGATGTGGACACCACCACTGCAGGTCAGAGCTGCGTGCGGGGCTGGGAGAGGGGTTGGGTGCACCCCCAGGAGCCCTCCCACACTCACAGCTTTCACACGTGGTTTGGGGTGCAGGGGGTGATGGCCGCATTTTAGCTGCAAGGCTCCTGGGTTGAGGCAGGACTCAGCACTCTCCTTCACCAGCTTGGTGTCTGTGACCTCAAATATTTACCCCAGCCAGTTTAGGGGTTAATAACAAACTCTGCCCATGGCTGGGGAGCAGCAGGCAAGAGCATCAGTGCTTCCTGCTCTTCCCATCAGTGAGCCAGCACCATGGCATCCCCAGCTTCGTGCCTGCTCCCCTGCATCCCCATCTCCCTCTGGGCATCCCCCAGGCTTGACTCCCCGGGCAAATCTGCAGGAGCAATTAAGGAAAATGAAAAGCTAATGAAAAGAGAGCGATGTAGGGCAGGAGAGCCCCTGCAGCAGTGCCTGATGGAGGCCAGGGCTGGCAGGAGGAGATAAGTGCATCATTAGGAACCAGCAGGTTAATAAATGACCCCAGCACACAGTAATGAAGCTTTTCCTCCTTCCACCCTCAGATAAAAGCCTTGTGAGGATGAGGGCAGAAAGGTTTAAAATCAGATTTTTACTTGCACAATGTGCTGGCTGGGTCAGACCTGCTGACAGAGGGATCTGGACCAGGCTCCAGAGGTGTCAGCCACAGGATTTTGCTGGGATGGACCCCGAGCAGTTCCTCACACATGTAGGAAAGGGCTGTTACTGTCAGAACTAAACTGATGATGATGCAGGATTACTCTGTGCGCTTGGCAAAGAAGAGCCAGGTTTCTGCCCCAACAGCAGCAGAACAAATGGTCCAACCTGTCCCACGCCAGGGGGGACACAGCTCCTCTCCCACCCATCCTCACAAAGGCTGGAAGGAACCCAGGCACACCGCGAGAGAATCCAGCTATGGGCATTCCAGGGGAGAGCAGAGGCAGCTGGAGCCCACCCAGCTGCAATTTTCAATTGGGATTTCACCTGGCTCTTGAGGAGACAGGGCTACCTCCATCCTCACTGTGTCCAGTCTGTGCCTGCTCGGGGAGGGGATGCCACAGGTGGTCCCAGCTCGTTGCACGTAGGACACAGAGGTGGCTCCTGCCAGAGCCTGGGCCGAGGAGGTGGATGCTCTGCTCTTTTCTTCAGCTCTTTCTTCAGCCAGGATCAGAGAGATGAGAAGCACTTTGGGAGAGCAGCAGCTCTAAAAACAGCTTCTGTTGAATAGAGGGAAGGGCAAGAGCCAAGTGCAGTGCTTGCAGCACACGGTGGGCAGGGCCATGTGGCAGCTCCCTGCAGCCCAAGGTCACATCCACTCGGCCTCAAATCCTCCCCCTCACATGCAGAAAGCAACTTTGCTCCCCATGACCTGGATGCTGGCTGGGCTGGGAGCCGTGGGAGTGCAAGGCTGGCTCCCACACAGGGAGGGGAAGCAGCAGGGTCTGGGCTGCCCAGCACGGGAGCAGCATCGAGCTGGCCTGGGACTGGCACCCTTTGGTCATTTCCAATGGAGGAGCAGTTCCTGATAGCATCCTGTGCTCTGCATCTGGAAATAAGCCTGTTATGCTTTCGTTATCACTTCATTTGTTTCAGCACTCCTGGGTGGGGCCGTGGAAATTCCCCATTTTTTTAACCTTTGGGCATTTTCCATAGCTGACCAAGTTCTTCACCCGCAGTCAGGCTGTCTGCTCTGCAGACTACACAGCCCACAGTTGTCTTACCTGGTAAAATCTCACTCCTGCAGCCCTTTCTTTTGGTGGCACCAGGGGCTGTGTCACCAGTCTCACCCTGTGCTGGTGGCCCTGGGATGCTGTAGGACTGACTCCACCCTTTCCTCATCTGTAGACTGCCAGGAGTGAATGTGAATGACACAAAACTCCTGGTGTAGGGGGTGTATCAATGAGTGCCCTCCACCAGGGTCACCCTTGGCAGCAGGCTCAGGCTGGCAGAGGTCCCCTTGCTGAGCAGCAGCTCCCTGCCCAGGGTGGTGAGGCACTGGCATGGAAAATACAACATCTGTGCAAAAATAAAGGGCATTTAGGCTTGCAGCTCCCTGAGAGAAGAGCAGAGGCATGCTCAAATCATCCCCAGGGCAATACCTGCAGGCCTTTCCCCACCCAGGGCATTGCTGGAACAGCAGGACTGGAATGGTCGGGACCACTGGGGTCATGCAGGTGCATCAGTGGCTGGGGGAAAGGCTCCATATCCATCCGTGACCTGTTAGCAAATAGCTTAAGAGTTTTATTTGCTCAGTTACCCATTATCCTAATTAGTTTATTAGCTGCTTCCCACTGGGGAGGACAGTGCTGGCTCCTCATGCCACTAATTAGCAGCACAGGTAGAGCCTCTCTGCAGCAAATGAGGCAGCTCCTCTCTGCCTGCTACCCCCAGCCCTGCTCCTTTTGGGGAGCACAGAGGCAGCAGTTATGGAGATGTAGGGAAAATATCCACAAACTGGAGGGTGCTGAAGGGAGGTGCAGCACTTGGCATCTCAGTGGCATTCTCTTTTCCAAAATACCCCCATTCTGTACCAGGTCCTGTCCTAACTGGAGCTTTCCCAAGAGGCTGGAGGCTGAACTGCACACTCAGCTCCAGAAACTTGGGATTTAAGCCTATTATTCTAAAAGATGCTCTAGCAAGTGCCTTTGAGGATCTGGCTTTGATATACCTCAGCACAACTGCATCCAGGGAAGATTCCCTGCAGAGTCTGCAGAGCAATTACATTAGGAAGGACTAGCCTGGTCTTAGTCCCTCCTGGGTACATTAAAAGCATTTCTTCTTTCCTGGGGCCCATGGAGTTATTTGTTGATTTATTTCTCAGCCAGGAAAAGCGAACCTCTTTCCTCAGCTGAAAAAGAGGCGGATCCCAGCCAAGATCCCAGGCACCACAACTCACAGTTTTTCTTCTGGGTTGCAGAATGAGTTTAGAGGCAGCAGCTTGGTGGGGTCTGGTGGGTGCTGCCCAAGGGGTGCCCAGCTCTCCCTGAGGATGTGATCCAGCCCTATGTTAGGATCTGATTAGTGAGAGATGCCTCTGCCTGAACTGAGGTGCAAATGAGACAAATGCTGAAGTAAATAATACAGATTTTGTTAGCAATCAATGTGAGGCAGAGAGAGAGAAAGAGAAAAGAGGGGGGACAGAGAAGGAGAGAGCACTCTTGTTTTGAGCTGATGGTTTCTTGGGTTGGTGGTTGTGAATCTCCCCCTGCCAGAATTACCTCTCACCCAGTCAGAGCTGATTCAGCACAGTTACTGAATTGCTTCTATTAGTTTCTTCCTTATCTTGGGAGTTCTGCCAAATGTCCCTGTGGCCTGTAAATTCTGTATTCTTTGTGCCCACTATCAGTGATACATCCTTTTTCCCAAGCCTTGTTAACCTCTCCCTAGGCCTGAGATCATTGGAGCTTGTCCAGCCATAAACTTTAACAGGGCCTAACACCCTGACAGTAGTACCTCCTTTCTACAGTCCAAGTCCTGGCTATCCAGGGAGGAATGTAATATTTGGGGGCTCTTTGACTCCTTTCATGGCTGTTCCCATCCCAATCTCCACGTGGATTCTGGCTCTGCCCTGGTCACGCTGTACTGGTGATGTTCAGACTGAGTTTTGGGTGGGATAACCTGCACATGCTTGGGAGGACAGAACAGTACCAAAGGATGAAAAACCTAACCCAGTTTTATGGAGGGACTTTGTTATGCTCAGGAAAAGAGCTGTGTTTATCTTTCCTGCACAGCCCTGGGGTTAGTGGGAGCCTGTGACAGGGGCTCTATTGGCAGTGAAAAAGCAGCTTTTTCCTACACAGAATAAATACAGAAGCTTCCTTTCCCCTCGATAAGGGGCTGGTAATGGCCTGTCTCTGCAGGCAGTGGGACCCCAGTCCTGGCAGGCCCTGCTCTGTCCCACTGAGCTCCAGCTGCTCCCCAGGACCCAGCCCCACTCCTCCCTGCTCCCACGGGCTGGTCTGGGATCTGCATTGCCCCCGCTGTCCTTCATCCCTCTGACCCGTTTCCACAATGTGGGTTGGGGACAGGGGGGGAGCTGGGGTGTCCTGCAGACACGTTTGGGGTGGCCTTTGGCATCCCCAGCAGCGTGGCTTGGGTGGGCTCGTTGTTCTCCCTGGATGTCACATCCGTGCCGTGCCCGGGATGGGGACAGGAGCGGGGCCAATTGCCTTTTTAAGAAGGACACGGGGCAGGGGACCTTGGAGTGGCCTGACTGTGCCTTTCCCTAATCCCAAGGCATGTAAACAGCAGGGGCTATTTTCTCCCTGTCCCCACCCCCCCCCGCATGCCCATCTCTTTGATTTTCCCAGCAAAGGAGCACTCCATTTAAAACAAACAAACAAAAAAATGTATTTCAGAACCAGCAGCCCATTCCTCACCAAATAAGGCAGATGATTTTTTCTTTTTTTTTTGGGTCTGAGCTTGTGAGTGTCCCTTTAAGCAGTCCTGGGCGCCAGGCTCTCTGCTTTGCCATCCCCAAATCCTGCCGGCTGTCCCCAAATCTCGCTGTCCAAAGCCTGGTCGGCCGAGCCAGGAGCGGGGTTCTGCCTCTGCTGCTGCACCGACAACGCTGCTCTGCTGCTCCTGCAAGCAAATCCTTTAGGGTTTTTCCCTCTTTTCGTCCTCCCCGAATGCCAGTGACCTGCTCCCAGGAGGCTGCCCAGCTGAGGTACGAGCATCACCCCTCGGACACACAACTTCCCATTTCTCCTGCAGAGCTCAAGCCACGCTTGCAGCACGGAGGGATCCCCCGGGACCCCCCAGCGGATCTGGGGGTGCCATGTGAGGGGCTGCTTTTGCAGCTCGGCCAGGCCTATTCATTCACTCCAGCTCCTGTTTGTCTCCCGGACAGACAGCTCTGCCCGAATTGATGCTTGGGAGAAGTTAATTACAGCTTGTTCCTGCTGCAGCCGGGCTCCACTGCAGCTCCCATGCCTGGCTGATGCTCCGGGGAATTGGGGGGGTCCTTACATTTCCCACTTGCTGCTGGCGACCGAGTGCCGAAGGGCTGAAAGCCGAATCCGGGCTTTTTTTTTTTAGCAAAGATTGAGTGCGATTTCATTTTAGCAGGGATTTCTTCTCCCCCCAGCCCTGCAGTGTGGCCAGGGCAGATGGGGGATGCTATGGACCGGCTGCTCTCCATTCAGTGAGGTTTGGGGGCCAGGGGAGGGCTGGGACACCCCCTTTTGAGCGGTGGCATTAGGACACTAAACTCTCCGCGCCGGCGTCACCTTTCGGGGAGGGCAAAGGACCAGGGACACGAAGGCAGGGTTGGGTGCGCAGCGCCGGGAGGGTTCCAGCGGCTCCATCCCCGCTCCGAGCTGCAGCATCCCTCCAGCCGCGGGGTGCTGCGGCGGGGCTGGGGGTGCTCCGGGGGGGCTGCAGGGGCTGAACGCCGCTCTATCCCCCCCTCCCCATCCCCGCAGGCATCAACGCCCAAGCGCGGAAGCTGCAGCGGCACCGGGCGCGGGGGGCCCGGCGGGCGGCGGGGGCTGAGCGGCGCGGGCCCCCCCCGGCCCTGCGGCGCAGCCTCAGCGAGACCAGCCTGGGGACCCCGGTACGGCGGGCAGGGAGCGGGGCCGGGGCCGGCAGCGGGGCCGGCAGCGGGGCCCGGCTCCAGCGGCACTGCTCCACCCTGCCCGGCAGCCCGGCGGCGGCGCGGAGCGGCGGCGGCAGCAGCAGCAGCAGCATGCGGTACTCCCTCTACCAGTCCCCGCACCTCCTGCTCCTGCAGGGCTACAGCCAGCAGCATGTAAGCACCGCGCCTCCTCCTGCGCACACCCCAAAGCTTCTCTCCCACCCCCAAAGCCCCCAAAGGGGAGCGGGGCTGCTTGCATGGCCGGAGCTGCTGGGGTCGAGGGAGGTGGTGATGGTGGTGGTGGTGGTGGTGCGGATGAGCATCCTTTAGGAAACGGGCTTGGGACTTGCAGCCTTGTCCTCAAGTCTGTCCCCAGCCTGTCCCCAGGTACGGTGAACACAGAGGCAGCCGCTGTGATCCCCTGCAATGCCCCAGAGGAATGCAAGGTGATCCCCGAGCAGCATCCCTGCCCCGGCCCAAGGGAGCGCTGGTTCTGCGGGTGGTGGCTGAACTGCCCCGTTCCCTGTCCGGCTGCTTCCTTAGTGGCTGTAAGGAGAGCAGTGCGTTTGCTGGTGGCACTTGAAGAGCTGCAAAGGACAGGGTCGGCTCTTGCAATTAATGGCTACTTTGTGCCCGCTGAGTATTCGGCTGTTCCAAGTTTTTGGCAGGGTGACACCGGCACTGCAGCCATCCCGTTCGTGCTGCTGGGGAAACTGAGGCACGGGGTGGTCTCCTGAGCTGCCTCGGGGTGCCCGGGCAGGCTGCAGGGAAAGGCAGGGCCAGGGGTGGATGCTCTGACCAGGGTCCCACTGCCCCCCGGGCAAGGGGTGCAGGCATCGCTGCAGTCTGGAGAGAAAAGGTGGGAAGGAAAAGGAGCTGCGGAAGGGATGAGGGAGAGAGGTGGAAGGAGCCCAAAGCAGCTCCTTTAACTGCATGCCCGAAGTCATTGTACCCATTTATTGGCGTGCCCAAGGCAGGGATCGCTGCTGTCCTGCTTGGCAGCAAGGAGAGTAAAAAAAAACCAACAAATATTTTTTGTCATACAAAGGTGCATAAGGGACAGCTGGGGACAGCAAGGGGACAGCTGGGGACAGCGGGAGGCTGCAGCACTCACTGCATGGCAGGGAGGAGGGTCCCTTCTCCCCCCTCCCCGGTTCATGCTGCGTCTCCTCGCTTGGCAGGACAGCCTGGTTTACCTGCTGAACCGCGAGCAGCACACGGTGGGCCAGAGGACACAGGCGAGCAAGCCCAGCATCAGCCTGTCAGCCCCGGACATCCTGCCCCTGCACTGCACCATCAGGAAGCTCCGACCTTCCCGGAATCGCTCGGAGGAGAAGCTGGTGCTGGAGCCCATCGCCGGCGCTGGCATCTCTGTCAACTTCGCGGAGGTGGCCCGGACGGTGGTGCTGCGGCACGGGGACCTGCTGTCCCTCGGCCTCTATTACCTGCTCCTCTACAAGGACCCCATGAAGGCGCAGCCGCTGCCGGCGCAGACCCTGCTGAGGTTGCGAGCCCTGCACCCCGAGGGTCCCCACGTGTGCGGGGCGTGTGGCAGCCTGCTGAAGGACAAGGACCCTGCTGCCAAACAGCGCGGCCCCTCGCCCGCCGGCGGCCCCAGGACGCCCCGCAGGAGGCTGCAGCTGGAGTTCGAGCCGGCGGCCGAGGATGTGCTCCTGCGGCGCATCATGACCCTGATCGAGCCCGGAGGGGATGACCACAAGCTGACACCCGCCTTCCTGCTCTGCCTCTGCATCCAGCACTCGGCCACCAACTTTGAGCCAGGAGACTTCGGGCAGCTGCTGCTCAAAGCGGCCAAAATGATCCAGAGGACGGTGTGGGTCAGTCAGCGGTGGGATGGGGCGTTTGTGGGGTGGGGGTGTTGCTCAACTCCTCCCTGAGGCTTCTCAGCCTGGTCTCTGGTGGCAGTGAGTGCTGCTGGGGGTGATGTTCGTGCCACCCCACGGCACTGGTTTTCACTGTGCTTTCCCCTTCTCTCCCTGCCCAGGAGCGGACACGGGAGCTGGCTGAAAAGCAATCCCAGCAGTAAGTGTGACCCTCCTTGTTTCGCCTCAAAACGGGGAGAATTCAACCTGATTCTTCCTCCATGAGTGAGGGAAGCGTGTGGCTGGTAAACACACACTCCCAGCCTGTCAGCAGTGATGCATGATGAGTTTTCCTGCTAAATCCCACGCATTCTGCTCTCTGGTCCCTTAACCACGATGCCTGCACAGAATGTGTGGGTTTGGAAAAGCTTGGGAGGAAATAGGACCTGCAGCAGCTCTGAGGTTTTCTCTGATCCAAGACCTGGCCAAGGCTTTGCACTTGATGCTTCAGCCCTGAGTGATGTAGTAGGAATGTCCCTTATGTGTGAGCCTGACCTTCGTCATGCTGGAGACCCCTCAGTGGAGCTGAGATGGAGCTGGCATTGCGTGTGTATATCCAGGGGTGATGGCACAGGGTGTCCCAGTGCTGGGAGCACCATTCTGGGACAATCACAGTGGTGACAGTGGTCTTCCCAGCCATTTCCAAAATCCCATCTCTAAACCAGTATCTGGAGAAATTGTAGGTGCTTGCTGTGAGGTCTCCTTTGGGATAAACTTCAAGGATGCTTCCCAGGTCCTCCTACAGCAGGAAAAAGCAGTTTAGCAGTTGATAAATTTTCCAGATGCTTTTTATTTTATTTTTGAACAGCCCAGGGCGGGTGAGCTGAGTTTAACTGTCCAGAGCTGGCAGGAGCAGCACATACCTCTGGGGAAGGGCTGCTCTTCAGCCACGAGTATTTAGTGCAGTTCATCTGTATTAGGGGAAGTCTTCCCCAAAAGTGGCACCCCACAAATGCCAGGTGACCTTGGTCAGCGTGGTCCCCACAAGGTCCCCTTTGCCACTCCACAGAGCAGAAACTACTGAATTTTTCCTTGTGAAGGGTCTTTCTAAGGGGAGTGCTGGGCTTAGGGGTGCGGGGATGTGAAAGCTCTCTGGCATTGCCCCAGGCTGGTTGTTTTCTCCCCAAAAGCCTGAGTAGGGATGCTGAGGAGCAGCAGGTGTAACACCTGCTGTGTCTCCCCAGCCAGGACCCTGCCACCCTGTCCCGCTTCACCATCACAGACCTTCTCCCAGACCTGCAGCACATCATCTTCTGGATGGCCAATGCCATTGAGATCCTCTACTTTGTCCAGCAGAAATCACCCACCTACATCCAGAGCATGGAGGAAGAGCTGGACATCAAAGGTAAGTCTGGATGCAGCATCCTGCCTGTTTTTCCTGCTGGAGCAACTCTGCTAATCCCCAGTCACAGGTGGTGGTCAGTGCCCTCGAGATGCTCCATTAACCCTCCATAATCCTCAGCAGCAGGGACATCTCTGTGCTGTGGGGAAATCTGTGGGAGGAGCAGCCTCACATCCTGCCGTGGTGCTGCCCAGCTCCAGAGCCAGGTTGTGTTGTGTTCACACACAGGTATCCCCTGCCACCACAGCAGTTTGTGGTAAATGCCCTGGGGTACTTTCTTCACCCTGGATTTGCAGGTAGCCCTGCAGAACTGCTCACTGCTGAGCCTGTGTTAATGCCAGCAAAAGGAAAAAAAAAGATAAAAAGGTATTAAATCAGCCTCAGAAACTTTCTGGTCTATACAAACAGTTTAAATGTTCTTGGGCCAGGCAGGTGCTGGAATGAAGGTGTAGCCCTGAGCTGCCAGCAGCGATGGGAGTTGTGGGGGATGGCAGGTGGGAGAATCCTTGGGGATGATACAAACCTTGAAATCCCAATAACCCACACCCTGGGAATTTGGGGGCCTTGCTGCTGCAGGTTTGCTCCCCCATCCTCCTCTCCTCCCTGCAGGCTCCAAGGAGTCTCTGTTCTCCTCGACCATCACGGCCAGCGAGGAGGCGATGACGGTGCTGGAGGAGGTGATCATGTACACCTTCCAGCAGTGTGTCTACTACATCTCCAAGGTACCGTGTCACACGGGGCCAGCACGAGCATCCCCAGGGCTATGCAGGAGGGGTTTTTGAAAAGCTTTTACTCCTTGGCAGTTGCACCACGCTGAGGTGTTTTCTTTCGGGCTGAAGTGCCCCGATTTTTGGTCGCAGCCCAGGAAAAGTATTGAATTACTGCGGCGTGTTTCCTTGTCTGCAGTGCAGCGGCTCGGGGGAGGTGTTTGGGGAGGGCTGCTTGGCTCGGGCCAGCGCGGCATAATGGTGTGATTCAGGGCGTGATGGAAAGGGGCCCCTGGCCCGCTGGACCGCGAGAGGCGGGCGGCAGCGGCGAACAGAGCGGGCAGTGTGCGGCACAGAAAGGCTGCCCTGTGCAGGACGGCTCCCTGGCCACTGGCACCGGCACACGGGGCTGCTCCTGCACCGCCCCAGAGCGGCACCTTCCTCCCCTGCATCCTCCTCCCCTTCCCTTTGCCCTGGCAGGAGTGAGTGCAAGGCACTGCTCTCCCGTTTAAGCAACAGGGAAGATCATCCCCATCGATCCTGACTTTTCTTTCGCTCTCTTGCCCAACTGATTGGTTGCTGCCCTAGTTCACATCAGGTTTTGCAGATTTTAGCTGGCGTCACACGCCGTCTCTTCCAACTGCTAAAAGTGACCAACACATTAATTTTTATAATTTTTTAAACTTTTGCACAACACTGGAGCCCATGGAGGCAGGGGGCGAATAGGAGCAACCCCTTGCTGGAGCAGCACTGTGGCAGGGGAGGTGAAGGAAAGGCTTGGCTCGTGCAAAAATAGAAACGCCCAACAAACTGAGTCTGCTGTGAACTTGCTGCTCTCCCTGCAGTGTCTGTACGTGTCGCTTCCTGCCCTGCTGGAGTGCAACCCCTTCCAGAGTGAGTGCCGGGAGAGCTGGCGGGGCAGCCCGCCGCTGCCCGAGGAGCTCCGCAGGGTCGTGCTCATCTACCAGGCCGTGCTGGACCTGCTCCACCAGTACGAAGTGCACCCCGAGATCACCTCCCAGATGTTTGCCTACCTCTTCTTCTTCTCCAACACTCTGCTCTTCAACCAGCTCCTGGATAAGGGTCAGTCCTCCTTGAACTGGGTAACACACAGGGGATTGAGTTATGGGGATGCCCTCCAGTCCATCCCAGTGCCAGCTTAAGGGCTACAGGAAGGAAGGGGCTGGAGGTGGACAGGTCTCAGCATTGTTACAGGGAGGTCAAGCACAGACCCAGCTGCTGGCTCCTGGGTCCCCATTCCCAGGAGAGACTAAACCCCACAAGGATCCCATTCCACTGCCCCTTCCAGCCTGAGCAGAGGAGTCTGAGGGCAGTTAAGAGGGGCAGCTCATTAATAAACTACAGCAGCCTGAGGTGCTCATTAGCCCTCATTAACACAGCTGCCCTGTTGTAAGTGCCAGGCAAGGTCCAGCCACCACCAGGAATCACAGCCACAGGATATTAGGGACATTAAACCGGGGACAGAGGGGCTGTTCCCTGCTATGGCTGATGGATGCTTTGCCTCCCCAGGCTCCTCTCTGGGCTGCTACCACTGGTCTCAGGGGGTGAAGCTGCGGGCCAGCGTGCGGCTGCTCCTGGAATGGCTGCGCAGTGCCGGCTTCGAGCAGCTCGCCCAGCAGTTCTTTGCCAAACTCGCCAGCGTGGCCAACCTGCTGGCCATGCCCGGCTCCCAGCTGGTGCAGGTGAGGGATGCCCAGCCCAGGGCTCGTGGTATTGGGATGGGCGTGGGCAGGAGAGTGCCTGCTCGGTGTCTGGGGCGTCCCTACACTGATGTGTCCCTTCTGCAACCTGCCACCAGCTGCCCTTTCCCAGGGTCTGTAGGTGGGCAGTAACCTGGAGAGGATATTCTGGTTCTCTCCATCTTGCCCGACCTCTCCCTCCTGTGCCCTTTGCAAGCTCCTGCTCCTCAGAGGAAGCAGTTTCTCACCTCTGCCGTTGCCTCCTGCCGTGTCCCCTCACGCAGATGACCTGGCCATCCCTGCGAGCTGAGTTCCCAGCGCTGAGCCCTGCACAGCTGCACCGGGTGCTGAGCCAGTGCCAGGCAGTGATGGATGTGGGCTGCATCTCAGCATGGCAACCCAGTGAGGAGGAGAGCCCGGCCACCTTCCAGCCTGGTGAGTCCTGGTCAGCCTGCTCCAGTCACATACAAACCAAACAGATAATTCCCTTCCCCTTCCTGGGTGTCCTGTAGCAACTTCAGCAACTGGTAATAACCATAGCCCTAAAATTCAGATGTTGCAAAGGATGCAAAGTGCATGAGGCTTTTTCTGCTGGCTCAAACTCACTAAATCCCTGATCCCAGTTGGGACACTGCACATGGCTGAGAGCTGGGAGGCAGGAGTGGGGTGCAGCCCAGCCAGTGCTCCATCCCTCTGCCTTTCAGATGAGATGCTGGAGTCCTTTGACAACCACCCACCCATCATCCTGCCCAGTGGGGGCTTCAAAGTGGACCTGGAGGTGGAGACATTGGATGATAACATCTATAGACACCTCCTGTACATCCGCCACTTCCTCTGGAGCCTGCAGAGCAGGAGCCCCCACACCAGCGAGGGGCCAGGCTCAGCTCTCCCAAAGGTAGCCTGTATCCCATGGGGGGTCGGCTGGGCAGGAGGGTCTTGAGTACCTCTGCAGACCCCTCCAAGCCCAGTGCCATGGGCTTGCTGCCCTCACCTGCAGCCTGGAGCTGTGGCAGCGCCTTCATGGAGAGCTTCTGGAAGGATTAGTGCTGCTAATCCTCCAGCACGGGGGGCACGGGAAGGTGAGCTGGAAGGACGGGCTCTTCCCAGCAATCTCGTTAGCAGGGAGGAAGGGGAGATGTCTGTGGGCAGTGCTCCCCTTCTCCCTGTGTGTTCCCTGTCCTCCCAGCTGCACCCTGCCCGTCCCCAGCAGCCAGGCTTGCAGGAAAGCACTAATTAGCTAATGCCTATAAAGCACAGGGAGGGTGATACGTGCTGTGGGTGCTAAGCTCAGCTGCCATGTGGAGGATGTCCCTCCAGCAGGTCCCCTTCTCCTGTCCCATGCTGTCCCCATTCCCTGCAGCACTCACCGGCACTGCTGCCTGCTACTCGGGCCACATTGCTCAGCCCTTGGGCACAGGAGGAGCTGTGCTACCCCATTATCCCCTTCCAATGGGATCCCCCAGCAGGGACATGATCAGGAGTCCCCTCCTGGCTGGCTGTAAGCATCCCCAGCATGACCCTGGCCACCAAACTGGGGTGTGGGAGCTGTGTTAGGAAGCCAGGACAAGCCTGGCAGTGTCTGAATTGCCGCGGCTTTGGATGGATCTGGCAGCCAGGAAAGCACCAGGGCGGTGGGGTACAGACAGGGGGTGAACAGCATACGCAGGGGGTCCCACAGCATTTCCCTCCTTCTTAAGAAAGAGGCATGCACGACGCCGGAGGTGCTGGAGGTGAGCGAGGTTCCGGTGGCCGCACTGGGGAGCACCATAGCCCAGGAGGATTATTGCTCCCGGGGGGGCTGTGCCGAGCCAGAGGGCAACCCCCAGCTCTGCCTGGCCACCAGCGCCTGCCCCTGCGAGCCCCCCGCCGGCGAGCCCCAGCTCCAGGAGAAGCTCAAGCAGCTGCAGCTGGGCAGGAGCCCGGTGCCCAAGGCGCCCACGGACTCCTCCTGCCTGCTCACACCACCCACCACCCCCCTGAACTTCGACTGCGGCAGCCCCGAGTCCCCTCAGGGCACGGGCAAAGGGCTGCAGGACCCGCGGAGGAACGGCATGAACGGCACCAAAGGCAGCACCCCCGAAGGTACCGAGAGCTGGCGCTGCCTCGGGGCTGTGGGGCTGCGTTTGGGCGGTACCAGAGCCGTAAGCCGCTCTCTCCGCTGCCAGGCTGCTCGCCGACCCCCTATGATTACCCCACGCCGGAATCCTCCAGCCGCAGCTCCGCCACCGACGACTTCTGCTACGTGTTCGTGGTGGAGCTGGAGAGGGGACCCATCGGGCTGGGAATGGGGCTGATCGACGGCGTGGTGAGTTCTCAGCTGATGCCCCTCACCCCCTGGTTTATACCCCAAGAAAAGCCAGCCAAGAAGCTGATGGCTTCCCACGGGAGCAAGGCTGCTCCTCCTGGGGACGAGGAGATACAGAGGGATCTCTCAGTGGATCTCTACTCGTAGGTCACTGTACTGTGCATGCAAAGTCCACAGCTGTCCTGCAGCTGGGAAGAGCAAACAGGCTCAGCTCTCTTGTGGAAGGAAAATGACTCAGCCGAGGTCTTTCCTCCACCCTTCAGTGTTGGCACGAGACGCAGAGAGGAGCAGGGAGGTTCACAGGGTGTCAAAACAGCTCCTCCTCTGCATAAGGAGGATTGTGGCATTGTGGGGTGGATCATCTTTTTAAATGGCCTTTCACAGCTGTGCTGTTGGTCAGTAGGAAACAGAGCATCACCGAGCCCTGGGACAGTGTGAGCAGAGCTCCCATCCCAGCATGGCTGCAAGTTAACAATGCTTCACACTTAATTAAATTGAACAAGAGCAGATTGCTTCCACCTCTCCTTTCTGTGTATAAATTGATACAAAAGTAAAGGATCACATTTCCTTTCTGTTATTGTTAGCATCATCCCCATGATGTTCCCAAGCATCTCCAAAGTCTCACTTGCCATCAGGCTTGGTTGTGAGCCCTAGGGGAGAGTTACCCTGCCTGGGGGGCTCAGCCCTTTGGGACCACAATCTTTGTGTTCCTTTTTTTTTGCTCACTGCCTTCCCCTGCCAACAGCACACCTCCCTGTGCTCCCCGGGGATCTACATCCGCACGCTGATCGAGGACAGCCCCGCGGCTGCCGACGGCAGGCTCTCCATCGGGGACCGCATCCTGGCTGTCAACGGCACCAGCCTCATCGGGGCCGACTACCAGAGGTGAGCCTCACAAAGGGCCTGGGGTGGTGCCAGCACTGCAGGAGTTACTCTCAGGTCCAGGTTTCCAGCTGTTTTGCTCTGAGAGTTGCCAGCGCTGCAGTCCTGAGCGAGCTGCAGGGAGAGGAGTGACCTGCACAGGACACCACAGAGGGGGAAAGGCTGTGGTTTGGAAGAGGGATTATGGAGCAACAACTGGGGAGCATATATGGGAAATGAATGAGAGCTCCAGAGGTGGGTCTCAGCAATGCAGAGCTGCTCCAGCCCCATCCCACCCCAGGTTTCCTCTTGAAGGTGGTGGGATGGGGCAGCTCAGAGGCAGAGCCCAGGTGCCCATAGCACAGAGCAGCTTTGGGCTTGTTTGCCCTCGTCCTGGCACCATGAACCTGGAGGCCAAGCCCTCCACAAAGCTACAGGCAGGAGAAAAACAGCCCCTGCTTGTAGGCCTGAACAGGCACGGGTGATTGGCAAAAGGGGGGGGTGTTTTGTGAATGTCCATGAGTTGGCAGGCTCCTGAGAGAGCCAGAACTCACCTCTGTCCCTGTTGCTGCTCCCTGCAGTGCCGTGGACCTCATCCGCTCTGGAGGGAAAAAGCTGCGGTTTCTGGTTGCCAAGTCGGACATTGAAATAGCAAAAAAAATCAGTTCCAGCTCCTCTTCCTCTTAGTCCTTGTGGTACAAGGATCTTTCTGCAGCAGCTTGTGGCTACAGCTCTGGTTAAGGCTGACCTCAGGGAGCCTGGAGTGCAAGAGGGAGGACCAGGACTCCACAACAGCCCTCGATGTGCTTTTGGACACTTTGCCCCTGCACTGCAGCAGATGAAAGGACACACAAGGATGGTGCACGCTTCTCCCACTGCACTGGCTGGGAGCATCATTCCTGATCCATTGCCCAGCCTCACCTTATACCCAGTGTCATCCTTCTCAGGAGCTTTCCTGTTCCTTTGTCCCCTCTGGCAGGGGGAGGGAAGGGGATGCTCCCAGCATAGGGATTTGTAGGCAGGCTCCTCTGTTCCTCTAGGCTGGTAGCCCTGTGTGATATTTTATGCTGGTAGGCAGAAGGCTTGAAATACCTTTGTGTTTTGAAGAGAACACATGGGGCAGGCCTGGGCTTCACTGTGGCAGTGGCCACCTGAGGTGCTGGCACGTCAGGCTGAAAAGTGTGCCCAGCTCTGGGAGTGGTGAAGGCAGCACAAGCACCCAGGAGTGGGATTCCACACAGGATGCATCACCAGGAGTTAATTCCCCTGGTGCCATACACTAGCTCAGGTGCCTTTCTGCTGCTGGGCTGCAGCCCTGCCTCAGGATGGGAAGCAGCTACAGCAAAGGGCTGACACCACCAGCAGCTCCCGAGAGTCCTGGGGAGAGCTCCCTGCAGAGAAGGACTCCCTTGCCCTTGCTCCATGGATTTACTGCCCAGCTCTGGCACCATGATCCCGGCTGAAGGCCACCAGGACTGATGGCAGAATGTTCCCACAGAGGATTGGTGCCACCAGGAGCCTGAGTGAGCCCAGCAGCACTCAGCACTGCCACCAGCCCAGGCAGACAAATGACAGCTTGGTACTATGTCCTGCTCCTCCTCCTCCAGCTTCACCAACCCATTGCAAGGCCACCTTGTTTCGTGCCCTGCTCGGAATATCTCCCAGGTGTGTGCTGCTGAAATGCCGACAGGTGATGGTGGACAGCAGAGACTCCCTTTAGGAGGACTTACGAATACCCCAGGAACCGCTCTGCCTGCTGCCGATCCCGGTGTCAGCTCAGCCGAGGGTTCAGCTCCATCGTGTGGCTGCCCTGGCCTCTGCACACCCGGCCTCCTGCCCGCCGAGTCCTCCCTCTGCTTTTAGCACCATTAACGGGATAAACCCGACCTGATTTCCACATATAGACAAGATACTGAGACCTAGTTTAGCCGAACCCTATTAAAACAGCCTGCAGCAAAGCCCTTCATCACACCCTGCACGGTCCAGGCGCTGGCAGTGGATCAGATACTCACATGGCACCTCACAACAACGGTGCTCTGAGGATTGTCATGCTAAAACAGGGTTGGCTTTAATTATGCCTCGCTGCTGCAGTTTTGGCTCCTGTGCTTAGTCTTGCACGTTGCAGGAGGAGAGAGATGTCAAAACACTCCATTCAAGGGAAAAGCTCCACTATTGGATTTCAATGCAGCCTGGCCTGCTTTTCTGGGCAAGATGGACCAGGCACCTTCTCTGAGACACGAGTGCCTTGCTGCTCTGCTGGGCCACGCTCACAGCCCTGGCCTGAGGTGCTGCCCCAGCAGGGACTGGGAGCAGTGCATCCTCCTGCCACTGACTCAGCTCTACCAGGCAGGTGAGCAAAGGCTCAGGGCTCCTGGTGATTCACTTCACTTTCTATCCAGTAGGTATGCTGGCCTGTCATCCTCCACAGAACCTGAAATGGGCTGCCTAAAGCCCCTGGGCAAACTGCATGCATTCTTTACTCCCCTCTGGCCGGGAGCCAGGGCTTGGGGAGAGGCTTGGTTTGCACTAGACAGTGCTGGGGCTGCATCCTGGCACGTTCCAGCAGTACCAGTGCAACCCACTGAGCACCCCTGGAGCTGGAAAACAGCCCCAGGGCTGTGTGTCACTCACAGTGCAGTCAGGTATTGAAACAGACTGTAAATAAACCCTGCTATTTACTAGTGTGCATGAGGGCTGGGTTCTCCCAGGAGGAGCAGTGGGATGGATTGATTTCCCTGTGTGTTAATATGTACAGCTGAGATGTGTATAAAGCTCTGGTGCAGATACTGAGCACAGCATGGCGCCTGTCGGACACAGTGGATGTTAAGAAATGCTCTGTGTCAACAATAAACTGGATCAATAAATCTCTAAGTCCTGCTCTGGCAGCTGTCTCTTGGATCTCTCTGTGTTCACTCCAGTGGTGAGACAGAAGAACAGTGAGGGCTCCCAGATGTGATGGAATCAGTGCTGCTTCCATCAGCTCACACAGGCCTTTGCCTGATCTGCTGCAAGGAGAGGCAAAAAAAGCAGCACGTGCAGGTGTGAGAGCAAAGGGGAGGGGAAACAAGGCAGAGAAAGTGAGGGAAGAAGTGCATCTCCAAAGGGACAGGATCTGCTGGCAGGGTATTAATGTATCATTCACTCTCCTGCAACATCCACACAAATCCACCAGGATTTTCAATGCATACTCACCAGGAAGGGATAAGACAAGCTTAGGAGATAAAAAAGCAACAGGCACTAGGACACTGAAATACAAACAAAAAGCTTCAGATCAGAAGAGCAGCCTCAGCTCTCCTTATTCCTGTTCTCTGTTTCATTCACAATCATTTGTTCTTTTCCAGTTAAGATCAGGGCCTCAGCCTTGAGTGTCAGCAGTGTCCAGTGAGTTATTCAGAAACCTCCTGACCTCACACTGGCATGGAACCTGCAGCAGGCTCCAGGAACTGGGTGACCATCCTCAGGGCCAAAGGGAGGGAGTCATTCACCTCCCTCTGAAACCGTGTGCTGGCCGGGGGTGGGGTGAACACAAACTGAGCCACGCTGGGCATTTTCAGCAGGTTCATGAGCTCAGTTGCCCGAATAAGGATCTCCTCAAGGTCTTCCTCACTGTAAACAGAGGTGACAGCAGGGCTCTGTACAAATGTTGTCATCTTGGACAGGAACATGGACACTCTGTAGGAGAGAAGGACACGGGTATCAGCTGGCAGGACCTTTTCACCCAGCCAGGTCACTACTAAGTGTGCAAACTCCAACAGACTAGTGCAGGTGAAGAACATTAATCAGCAGATGAATCTCACTCCTCCAAATTGTGCCCCTCTACAGCTCACCTCTGTCCTTTCTCAGTTCCCAGACTCAATTATTAACTAACACCAGCAAACCCACATTTGGACCCATGAGATCTGCACATTTCAACCTTTTGCCGGTGCTCACCTGGGGATCAAGTCCTGGCTGCGGGCTGCCAGCTTGGTCAAGGTGGCCATGAGGACACTGATGGCACGGGGGGCACAGCTGGGGGTGCTGGCCTGTGGCCGGAGCTGGGTGATCTCAAAGAGCACAGCCTCGAGGGTCTCGAAGAACCGCGTGATCTGCTCCACCGTGCAGCGCTTGTCATACGACACCGACAGGTACTCGCCGATAGCCCACGCCTGGGGCCAGGGCACAAGGAAGCACAGGGAAAGGGAATGGAATGGTTTTTAGGGAACAGAAAATCAAGTTAGCTAATGCTAGGAGAGAGGAGGAGAGGGAAGGTGAGTGGCAAAGTGCAGCTGGAGCAGCCTGCTCACCATGTGGGTGAAGATGGCCTCCTTGCTCTGGATGTTGCTGACTGCTCCCGAGAATTCCAGGATCTCTGTGGACAGCTCCACCACGAGCGCAGGGCGCAGCCTGCAGAGCACTGCCAGCTGTGAGCCCAGCACCCTGGAGCAGAGAGAAGGGCACAGCTCAGACCAGGGTAAGGTGGTGATGCCCAAAGCCAGGAGGGGCTAACAGCGCCCAGCCACTGGCATGGGGCTGTATCCTCAGGATGTTCCCAGCCGGGATGAAGGTGAAGCCTTCAAAGATATGTCACAGTGGGGACTCGGCCAAAACTGAAAAGGCTCCTGGGCTGCCCTGGGATGCCAGGAGGAAGGTCTGGGAGCTGGGCTGTGCCTCCTGTCTCATCTCACCTGTACACATCCTCTTTAAACGCTGGGAGCTCATAGAGCTGGTCACTCCTCTGCAGCAGCAGCACCACCAGCTGGTTTATCAGAGACCCATCTGCAAACTGAAAGCCAGCCCTTGTTTCAGCAGTACCAGTGACATCCAGCCCCCAACCCCAAAATAACCAGCCACGTGAGACAGCTGGCAGAGAAACTGCCTGATCTAGGAGGGGCGCAGTGCACAAAGCAGGTATCAGGCTCACTGTGCTCTGCTCTCCTCTCCTCCACAGCTGGTTGAGAGCACAGAGTGAACCTGGCACTGCTCCACAGAGCTTTTCTCTTTCTCTGCATCAAGTGGCCAGCTCTGCTCTTCACATAACAAGAGATCCCTGTGGCACAACTGGGAACCAAACTCCTCTAAAAGGACCTACCTCTGTCACCACCCTGAAAAAGAGCTCCAGTAGGACAGGGACAGTCTCTGCACACTGCACCACCCTTGGGCTGCTAGCCAGGGATCCCAGCAGCTGCCGAAGTGGAACCAGACTGTGGGCAAAAGAAGTTACAGTTGAAGGTTTGTTCCCAGTTGCCTTTCCCTGTTCCCCACAAGGCCTTTGAGTGCTTGCAAAGCTGACAGAGGGAAGAGAAATCCACCTCACACCAGCTCAGAGCAGCTGTGCCTTTCCCATTAATCCCAGTGCTGCCTCCCAGAGCTGGATGGCTGAACCACACTCCAGGCAGGCTCCTACCTCTCCGGGGCATCCTGGGGAGCAGACTTGGTGCGGAGGAGATACTGGAACGTGCTCTTGTAGAGGGGATGGCGAAAGGCCTCCAGACACGTGGCTGGTTTCCCAGCTGGGTCACCCCCGGCCTTCTCGGAGGCAGGAAGAGCAGCTGCCCTAGCAGGGAACATACAGAATGTGCTGCACTGTGAGAATGGGCCAGGGCAGAGCTGGGATCCAAAACAATGAACAGCAAGTTGGTCTAATCCAGGTGCTCGGAAGCCTGAGAGACAACCTGATGAGCTCAGGCCTCCCACATTCAGGCAATAGTTCCAGACTTGCTTCTGTGTCACACTTGGGAAACTCTGTATCCCTCAGTAATCCAAGCCCACCAATACCTGCCTTTAGGATGACTCTCTTTTCTAAGCACTCCAGAAAGAGCTGAAATGTCAGGAGGGCAAGGAAGAGCAGAGGTACACAGCCAGTTCCAGTCCTACCCCATCTTCATGGAAACTCAAAATTCCTAAGATTTCAGGAAGAAAATTCTGTGTGTTCCAGAGAACAAAGCCAAAAGTAGGGCTAGGAGCAGGAAAGGAAGAATAGGTATTTCACCTCTGTACTGAGGTGGTAGCTCATGGAAGCCCCAGACATGTGGCAATCATTTGGAGATAGATAGGGAGAGGAGAATGGTAACAGCTCCCTGAGCCCCAAAGACAGTCCAGTACTGAAATGTGAGAGCTGGTCACCTTCTCTTCCCATGTACAACACATTAC